TCTAGTCTTAGGTCGGGCATGTCCTCCCACAGGCGGGCTTTCGACGAAATCCAAAAAAAACGCTGTCAAATACAATCCGAACAAATCAAGCATAGTAGAAACATCGTCCCCATACTATTTTTCCTATATTACCTGACAGCTTTTGCTGATAGGTTTCTAATAGGGTCAAAAGAGAGCATCATGACTCCTCAGGGGGGTCTGGGCGGGTGCCGGGGAGGAGAACCGGGAATCGTTTTTCGCCAACAGTCACACACTTCGTGCTCTTCGACCTCCCAGAACTCCATTCCCGGGCCACATTTTGGAGAACCGGGAAACAAAGCCGGGCTCGCTTTTCGCCAACGGTCACACACTTCGTGCTCTTCGACCTCCCAGAACTCCATTCCCGGGCCACATTCTGGAGAACCGGGAACAGAGCTGGGCTCGTTTTTCCTCAACAGTCACACACTTCGTGCTCTTCGACCTCCCAGAACTCCATTCCTGGGCTACATTTTGAATGCCCGGAGCCAACTGTAGGCCACTTCGTGCTCTTCGAGTTCCCAGAACTCCATTCCCGGGCCACATTTTGGATGCCCGGAGCCAACTGTAGGCCACTTCGTGCTCTTCGATTTCCCAGAACTCCATTCCCGGGCCACATTTTGGATGCCCGGAGCCAACTGTAGGCCACTTCGTGCTCTTCGAGTTCCCAGAACTCCATTCCTGGGCATGATTTTGAATGCCCGGAGCCAACTGTAGGCCACTTCGTGTTCTTCTAGTTCCCAGAACTCCATTCCTGGGCCACATTTTGAATGCTGAGGCAGGCTGATGCTGCGGCCGAGGCAGGCTGAGGCTGAGGCAGGCTGAGGCTGAGGCCGAGGCTGAAGGCAGACTGAGGCTGAGGCTGAAGCAGACTGAGGCTGAGGCTGAGGCAGGCTGAGGCTGAGGCTGAAGCAGGCTGAGGCTGAGGCTGAGGCTGAGGCTGAGGCTGAGGCTGAGGCTGAGGCTGAGGCAGGCTGAGGCTGAGGCAGGCTGAGGCTGAGGCTGAGGCTGAGGAGGCTGAGGCTGAGGCAGGCTGAGGCTGAGGCTGAGGCTGAGGCTGTGACTGCGACTGCCGTTGCCGCTGCGACTGTCATCGCGAATGCGACTACGACTGCGAGAACAGCAGAATTCTACAACTGGATTTTCATCTGAATCTTAAGGGGAATGCTTTCAGATATGCTTCTACATATCGCTGTTAGGTTGCTTTGCCGGGATAATGTTTGAATTCTCATCCTGTAGAGGGACGTGCCCGACTTGAGTCTAGTCTTTCTGGTGTTCGGTGCCTGCAAGTCCAGACGGGGACCTGGAACAAAGATCGGGGAGACGTAAGACTCGGGTACGGGGGACTCGGGTTGGCCCGACGGGGCCATCATAAAAATGACAAGACCCCATCTGAAATTTGACGCGGGCTCCCGCCGCGGACAACTCATGAAAACCGGGCCGTCAAAATCCAGGACGCGCTCATCAAAAAACGTCGGCCAACCCGAAATCCTGCTTATATTCAAATCTTACGCTTCCCCGAAAAGACCGAAGCTCTGCTCCGACACCTCCCCGTCCCGGTCCCTGCCCGCGCTTAAGCCCTCGTGCCCGTTGCCCCTTGCTTAGTCCCGCACTCCTCCAACAAGGGCGCCGGGGACCCCCCCCTTCCCCTCACCCCCCCCATTTCACCCCTTCTGTATCTCCTCCCACTCCACCCCATCTGGAGCAGAAGAGGGAGGGGGGGAAGAAGTGGAGAGAGAGAGAGAGGGAAAGAGAGAGAGAGAGGGGGGGGGAGGGGGAAGACAGACGGAGAGGCAGAGAGGGAGAGGAGGACAGAGAGAGAGAGAGAAAAAGACAGAGAGACCGACAGAAGACAGACAGCAAGACAGACAGACAGACAGACAGACAGACAGACAGACAGACAGACAGACAGACAGACAGACAGACAGACATACAGACAGCGAGAGAGGCAGGCAGGGAGGGGGGGAGAGAGGGAGGCACAGCGAGAGAGTGAGAGTGAGAGAGGAAGACAGAAAGATGGATAAAGAGAAGGAGAGAGAGAGAGAGAACTGGAAAGAGAAATGGATGGAGAGAGGGAGACAGAGATAGACACAGAGAGTGGTAACGAGTGAACGAGAGGGAGACAAAAGACAGGGAGAGAGAGAGAGAGAGAGAGAGTGAGAGAGAGGGGGGGAGAGAGAACAAACATGTGGACCTATCAGCTAAACATACGATGACGGGGTGGACACGGGTGTGCTGGTCATAATGGCAACGGGCTGACAGTATGGGGATGACAACGAAAGCAATGACCCCTGTAATTATCCAGACTGGGCTCAGTGTTATCTTGGAACTGTCGGTATAAAGAGGACGCTGGTTCTTTCGAGGTGCACATCAGTGTCTTCGTTCAAATATTATATCTTCTCTCTTTTCCGTCTCTCTCGTTCTCTGCATTATCCAACGCACATGGGCACAACCAGACGGGTTGCGGAAACCCTGAACCCAAACAGTGTGACATCTCTCGAGGGCGACAATGTACTTCCCGCATGCTTCCGCCGGCCTTCCGCCAACGGAGCCGCCATCGCTTTGTTTCCGCCCGTTTCCGCCGCCTTCAGCCGAGGACAAGAGGTCCGTCTCTGGATCCCTAGAAGGCGAGGCCCCTTCTGGAGCTGCCCCTTGGAGGAACAGACCCCTTCCCCTACCATCAGATGCCCAGCACGGATGCACGGGCAAGTGGATGGGTCGATGAGTGGGCGGATGGGTGCATGAATAGATACAGGCGTCCCTCCCAAGCGCCCGCTCTGGATTTGATGTTTTCATGTCTCGGCTGTGAGGAGCCAGTTTTTGACTGCGCAGCGCATCGCGCTCTTGAACTCCTGCGTGTAATCACGCGTGGATATAGACACAACGCGTATGCTGCGTGCCAACTCGGCGATCTGCAAGCAATCAGAAGCAACAAGTGATTGCCCGTGCCTCCTGGCGTGTTCCCCTAGACTGAACGAGGCTCTCACCAGGGAAGGGCGGGGGACGGGAAGGGCGGGGGACGGGAAGAGAAAGAGAGACAGAGAGAGACAGAGACAGAGAAAGAGGAACAAAAAAAGAGTAAGAGAGAGAATGAGCGTGTGAGTGAGAAAGATGAGGTATGAACGATGGTCAGGACAGACAGACGAAGGATGCCCGAAGGGAACGAGGACGGGGGCGAGGGCGACGATGAGGAGACGAAAGAAGAATACCGAGAATACCGAAAGGCGGGAGAAGGAACAACCCTCAAGCCCTGGGAGCCGGCAAGCCGCCTGAAACACTATTTGAAGAGACGTGCAGCACGGGTGGGGGGGAGGTCACCTTTTTTCAGCCCTCCTTTTCGGCACCTCGCCCCGTGGCCACCGTGTTGCTACATGATCTGCGGACTGCTTGGAACTCATGTTCTGCCGGGGGGAGGAACAGAACATAAAATGTCGGCGGTCCTCGCGGGCTCCTTCGATCCTGACGGCGCGCGGAGAACCACAGGCGCCGATCCGAGAAATCTGCGCGAGGCTCCGAAAGCGTTCGTAAATGCCGTTGTTTTTCCGATCACGGGCGCAGCAGCTCGCAGCAGCAGCGGTGAGTCTCTCGCAGCGCCGGCCAGCAGCGCGCAGCAGCAGCGCGCCCGTCTGCTCGGACCCAAACTTGCGAGGCCTGGGAAGGAGGAGGGGGAAGCGACGAGGCGAATCTGCACGGTTTCCCCCGGGGCCGTAGGCGACCCGAGGAGGAGGAGGAGGAGGAGGAGGAGGAGGAGGAGGAGGAGGACGAGTCGCCCAAACCCTTCGGAGAAACCCTCCAGGCGAATCCTCACGCGCGTTGTCCTCGTGCCCCAGATGTCTGGCCGCGGTGTCTCCTGGCCGCGCACCGACCGTGCACAGCGAGCTCCCCCTGGGGAGACCACCTCAAAGCCCGCAAGAGGCGCCCCAGACACCTCCAGGAGGTCCCAATACGCCGAGCAGCACATCCTGGGATGCGTCCAAGAGGCCCCGTCCTCATCGTCCTGCTCCTCATCATCTTCCTTCTCATCGTCGTTTGTCCTCCTCCACGGCAGCGACGGCTCACTGATGACAACTCCTGGGTCCTCGAACGGGTGCCAAACTCAGTCACTCCACATTCAGCGTTAACCTGGCGAGCCCAAGTAAGTTTTTGGATGTGTTGGGAATCAGCGGAATGGCCGAAGCCTCTCTTGGATGTTAATAGGAGGGGGCAGCAGCGAGAGCAGAGAAGGCGATGTTGGAGACGAAGGAGGAGGAGGAGGAGGAGGAGGAGGAGGAGGAGGAATGAGATGATGGCGAGGCAAATGCGTACAGTCAAAACTGATAGTAAGGATGCGCAGTGAGGATGCAAGCCCCTGTGGCGCCCGTGCTCAAGCTTTTCAGACCGCGGCGGGCTATCGAAAGCAGTCAAGGTTGGACCAAATATGCACGGATGCAAAGGTACCCTTGGGAAGGGTGCCCGTCCGTATCATCTGCTTCGGCTGCGGGAAAAGAACGGTCAAGGCTCCGAGCCGAGGAGAAGGCCGAGCAGTAGGAGCACAGGCAGGAGGGGAAACGCAGGAAGGTGAGGAGTGGAATAGGCTGGACAGGAGGAAGAGTCAGCGGAGCCGGAGCATCATGGGCGTACATCAAATTCGAACTACTGGATGCATAGGTGGGGGTGCCAGACCCCAGAATGTCCACGCTAACGGAGGACGCAGCCGAATGGCAACAACAACATACGAAAGCAATCGGATTCGGGAGGTGCCTTCGCGAGAATGCAGAGGGCACTGCGGAGGGGGAGGAGGAGCAGGAGGAGGCGGAGGTGGAGGCGGAGGATGAGGAGGAGGAGGAGGAGGAGGAGGAGGAGGAGGAGGAGGAGGAGGAGGAGGACAGCGCGTGGAAGGAGGAGGAGGGCGCGTAGGAGGGGGGAAGGGCGAGGCAGAGGGGAGAAGGAGGAGGCGGAGCACAGAGGACGGCGGCGAGGCGCAGCAGGCGCCGGGGCGAGCGCGCCTCCTGGACCCCCAGGTGGTCCGAAAGCTTCTGGAGGTCGAGCACGCCCCGCAGAACGATGTTGACGATGGCGGCCTTGTCCACCTCTGGAGGGGGGGGATGGGCCCGCAGGAGGGGATGGCGGAGGAAGAGGAGGAGGCAGGAGAAGGAGGAAGAGGAGGAGGAGGGAGGAGAGGGAGCGGGAGCAGCAGCAGCAGCAACAATGTGGGCAGGAGGGGGAAGCAGCCGGGGGCTTGAGTGGCAAAGGGCAGGAGGAGGCAGGAGCAGCAGCAGCAGGAGACAGGGGGGGAAGGACAACAAAATAAGGTTCAGCACGCAGAAGATGGGGGGGAGAGAGAGAGAGAAAGAGAGAGAGAGAAAACGAGAGAGAGAGAGAACAAACGAAAGAGAATACGAGAGGTAAGACAGAGAAAGATAACAGAGAGAGAGAGAGAGAAACAAAAAGAGAGAGAGAGAGAGAGAGAAACAGAGAGAGAGAGAAAGAGAGGAGGAGGAGGACTAAGGAGGAGGAGGAGGAGGAGGAGGAAGAGAGGAGTGAGGAGGAGGAGGAGGAGGAGGAGGAGGAGGAGGAGGAGGAGGAGGAGGAGGAGGAGGAGGAGGAGGAGTGAGGAGGAGGGAGGGGAAAAAACGCCACGAGGAGGGTGAGCAGAAGACGGCGCACGGGGAGGGCAGAGGTTCACGGATGATGCCAGCGGCCGCGGCCCCGCCCAGCTCGCGAGCCCCTGCGTTGTCGGGACGCGCGGCCCCACGCCTCCGCCTCCCACGCCCTTTCCGTCGGGTCCCGTTTTCTTCCACTTCTCTCAGTGAGGGGTCGACTACGCAACGGCTGTACCCCAATTTTTGAGATCGAGATGAGTCCGCAATTGATTTACCCCGATTTCAGTGAGGGATCGACTGCCACACTCCCGGAACGAAGGGTTGAGATCGAGATGAGTCCGCATCCCCTCAGGGGGGGGGCTTTGAACGAAACAACGCCAGCCACTACTCACTTCACCGTCGATTGCGACTGCAAGTCTATGCGAGCACAGTGCCTGTACCACACGCCGGAAAGAGATATCTCCCGCCTACCAATGATGCTGGTTCACATAGATGCAACTGTCAGGTGCTGCCACTACTGCAAAGAGAAGCCTGCAGATCACAACCTAGTGTGCCTGGGCATTCTGACCAATTGACTTTCATGGGCGACGACGCATCTTGGCGGCATCCCTACAGGGGTCAAGGAACAAAGAGGCGAGGAGGAAGCACCCGGGGAGCAGAAAATTGTGGAGCAGACAGTTGCAGAATGTTATAAAGCAACTAGTCCGAAAATCGCAGTCATTCGTAGCTTTAATGGACGGTGCGGCGATAGGCCAGGGCCCAAGCCAACGACGACATCAACCTCAAGGTGCCTTATGATACGTCAGTCAAGCCGGAGGCGCGGCATGATGGTTGAGCAGCAGCGCCGAGGCACCAGGCAGCGACAAGATACGCACTCCGGCGGCAACAAGGTGCGGCAGCATTAGCGTCAGAGGTGCTTTGAATTACGGGCGGCGCCCAAACACCGGCCCAAACCTGTGGCATTAGCGGCGGCAAGAAAGCGGCCAGTAGTGACGGCGAGCCAGCAGAGTGAGTAGGCTGCGAAGGCTCCGTTCATACGTTTTCAGATGTTGACTCTGGCGTTGTGGTCGTTGACTCAGCGTCGTTCCACGGTATACGATGTTGCTCGGTTTCCAGCACATGTGTATTAGATTTCCGCTCTAAGCTACTACATGTATTACCTGCTTCGGTTACGTTATCGCTTGTTTTCCTATCATGCTATCATGGTTTCGTGGTCTTCGTGTTATGTCAGGGCTTGCTTTTTTTCATGCGCTGATCCCCAGGTTCTGCCAAGCCGTTTCGATTCGAGGCCCTGGAAGCCGTAGGGATAACATAAATTGCCGCATGACGAATGGGAAAGGGGGAGGAGGAACGAAGACACATGGAGGAAGGGGAGCCTGAACGATGATTCACGCTGAGACCAGGCAGCTATCTACTTAGCGGTTGCGACGCTGGTCATCGACGCCGCGGCCACTGCCGTGCAAACTGGGTGGCCTGTTTCTGGGCAATGGAGCATGGGTCCTGGAAGCCCGAAAGTGATTCTCATCCTCTTGAATCCTCCTCGCCGTCCCCTTCCTATCAGATCTTGGAGCGAGGCGTGAGCATGCACTAAGAGAATACGACTGCCTAACAGCCTCAACCTCTGCTGGTGTGCAGTCATCTCTATCAACACAGCATGCGACCTAGGATTTCACGCCAGCAACTCCCCCATTGCCATTGCCACATAGTGAAAAAGAAAAAGGCCCTATCTGTAAGTCGGGCAGGGAACTACTTCCCAGCGAACACAAGCGACGTCGAAGTCGGACCCGACCCTATCTTCTGCTTCTTAGAGGGCCTGGTCGCACTGTCAGTGATGCCTTCATCGACGCTCACCCTCTCCCTCCTCAGGGGGATATCCTCAACGCTCACGCCAGGAATTTTGGCGATGCGCGGCTGACTGAACTGAAAAACTACCTTCTGGCCGCTCACCGTGAGGACGAACTCCAATGGCGTGACCTCGATGCGATGCGTCGCCTTCTCAGGTGTCGGGGGCCGAGTCGGGGGAGGCTTTGGCTTGGCCTTGCCGGCCTTGCCCTTGGCCTTTGCCTTGGGAACTACGGGCAATTTCACAGGCTTGATCATCCAGGCGTAGCACGTATCCGCCTTGCCATACACCATCTGACCTAGTGGCGTCAGGTACAGGTCCACCCCATGACAGTCACCGAGGTGCACCAGGTGCGCAACATTGATGTTCACAGCCACCTCGCGCGACACCACGCGGCCCCACAGCTCGAACTCGGTCGCGGCGTCGGACTTCTGGAAGATGTCGGTGGCTTTCACGCCGCCCGATTTGTCACTGGCGAGGGTCAGGTAGGCGTCGCCGAGGCTGGAAAGGTGCTCCCCAGATGCATGCGACTGCAAGAACACGGATCCGAGCAAGTTGCTGAGCAGCTTCTTGATCAAATCGCTACTTGAGAAGTCGTACTTGGCATTGCGGTCCTCAGCGAGTGTCGGCGCAACGACCAGCGCCGTCGTTGTCGTCGGGGCATCGCCGTGGTCGGGCGCGGCCTTGCTCTCGACAATCTCCTGCGACGTCTGCAACGTCGTGCCCACAGCAAGTTTGATCTCGTCCTTCATTGCTGTGCGATAAGCATCAGCCACTGGCTCTTCTGGGTCGATCTCCACACCGCCATCGCCATCCGTCATCTGCTTGCGCTTCTTCGGGCTAGCAGCTACGATCTTCTTCGGGACAATGGACTCGCGAATGCGGCTGACAAGAGCTGCCACTGAGCCATCAGATTCCGCCATCATCTCCGACGCAAGCACCTGGGAAGAGTGGTCAAGCCTGAATTGTTCGATCAACTTCTTCTCCTGGGTCGGACGCTCTGCTGGGAATACTAACAGGTTGGGCCACGACAGTTTCTTCCCTTCACATTGCTTGCTGATCTGTTGTGCAGTCATCTTGCCGACTTGCTTCGCGTAAAGCTCGCGGGCCACGTTGAAGTTAGGGACATTCTGTTCCTTCACGAATTCATAGCAAGCGAAAATCTGCACAGCAAACGATTTCATGAAAGCGCCATCCTGCAAACCAGAATCACTAATCATACCCAGCAAGCCGAAGTCGTTGCTCAGCAGGAACTTGTCAACGAGCTGTCGAAACAGATCTGGCATCATCGACCGCACGTGGATAGTTCCATCCTCCGATTTGCCACGGAACGGCATGCTCGCAACCCTGGACAACACGCACAAGAAGTGCTTCGCCCGAACGGTCCTCACGACGCTCGCCGTCCGATCTTTCTCCCAACCCCTCCAGAAGAGGGGCGAAGAGAAAGAGGAGGATGGCGAGCGTCCATGGGGTCCTGAACGTCTCGGAGTTAGCACTATGTTTGAACGTGATGTAGTCACCCACGCAAGTCGTAGCCGTCGGAGTCGACAAAGAATCTGAAAACCTCTCCACTTCGCTCAAAGCCTCGATGGTCTGAATGAGCTCGCACAGCTCGTCCGACATGATGTTCGATACCACGTCCCACGCATGCCCAACGATAACGTCCAAGACGTCGCGATCCTGAATGAACTGCACCTCAGGCTTCTTCCCCTGCAGGGACTGCATCGCGCACATGAGGCAGGCGTTGGTGGCCGAAAGTGCTGCCATGTGACACTGGACGGGCATATCTGGGTTGTTCTGCTGGATGAAGGTCACGCCGTCTTTCATGGCCTTCAGGTTGGACCCCTTCGAGATGAGCTCCTGCATGCGGCCTTGGGGCCACTGCTCGACGCCGTCGGCTTTGCCCTCGCCCTCAGACTCGCACGTGCCAGCGTCATCGTCGTCCTCGCCAGGATTCTGAGCCTCAGCGCACTTCAAGACGGCCTTTCGAACGGACGCCCAACCCTTGTAGACCTTCGTGCCAGACTTCGTGCCCAGCTCGATCTGCCCCGCGAGCGACGCCACGTAACACGCAGTCTTGATCAGCTCCGCCTCCTCCGAGCTCATGTTGTACTTAGTCACGCAGTCCTGATACACGGACCTGATGCGATTGATCTGGGTCGATTTCCCCGCGGCTTGGTCGTGAGACTGCGGATGCGCATCGCCGTCAAGCAAAGGCGGTGGGACTAGGTCGGAGTCGCCCTCTGGCACGTCCATGACGGGTAGCGCGCCGCCAAATCGATCCCCCACGCTGCCTAGGTCGTGAATGGCGTCCGTGTGGCACGCGAGGCAGTCTTGAACGCGCGGCGTTGCGCCGAGCTTCAGCGACAGCCTGTCGCTAGCCAACGGGAGATGTATGGATGGCGCCCTCTTGCAAATAACTTGGAGGACACTGTTGGCGCCCTCAACTCGCTGAGTGTCGGGTCTCCATTGCGACCTCGCCAAGGAAATAGCTGCGTGTAGTGCCGCGTCGCACTCGCCCGTCTCCGACATGTGTAGGAATTCGGACTCGTACTTGAGATACAGCTTGCACGTCCAGTCGCAGATGGCGGTGCCCAACCTGTCCGCGCCATGCGCGCAGCGGTCTAATAATAATTTCGCCACG